TTTTTGTTCCATAAAAATTTCAAATGAAATTGAAATATTATTTTAATAATTTAGGCTTAGGTTTCGTTCATAGATTGTGGCAAATGTGTTAGCCATTACTGACAGTAGTATAGGCAGGTTTTTAGACTGCTGGCTCACGATTTTCTTGTTTGGTGGCGATTAAAGTCTTGAGCAGACGGTATTTAAATAAAACCATTTGATACGTTTTAAGACAGCATATGATATTCTCTCTCTCTTCTCTCTCTCTCTCTCTCTTCTATATCTCTCCCACTATTTATCTCTCTTTTATGTGTGTTTCTGTGTGTGTGTGTGTGTGTGTGCGTGTGTAATTTCAAAGTACATTCAGTCGATAATTTTAATGCCTTATTTATAATTAAAGTGTTATACAAAGAAATAAACTTTTTGTAATCGTATAAATCAGTGTTATATAAGTTAGTTGCGTTTCTAGGTCGGGTGTTACCTTGTGGTGTAACTGAGGGTGTCACCTTGTGGGGTAACTGAGGGTGTCACCCGGTGTGGTAACAAATGGTGCCAGCCGATGCTGTAACCGAGGGTGTCATCTTGTGGTGTAACTGATGGTGTCACCTTGTGGGGTAACTGATGGTGTCACCTTGTGTGGTAACTGATGGTGTTACCTTGTGTGGTAACTGATGGTGTCACCTTGTGGGGTAACTGATGGTGTCACCTAGTAACCGAGGGTGTCACCAACCCCCTACTACTAATCTGACTTTTGGTATTGTGCCACCCTTCTCCCTACTATTTCATTATTTCAACGAGACAAAACATCCTTCTGACGGGATGCTACATTTTACGATTGTTCGTTATGGTGTCATCCCCTAAATGGTGATGTCATCAGGTGCGCACCTAATCCCCCCCCCCCCCCCCTTCTGCACCGCATTGTGACCCCGCTGCTTTTATTAACGGTATAGTATGCAAGATAAATAGGGTATGTGTGTGATACACTGTAATATAATATGTTGTATTCTGATCTCTACAATCTATCATTTGAAGAAGTTTCGAGACCTGCCGAACTTGGAATATGCTGCCATATTTACGAGTTGGACCACAACTGGTCCTTATAACTTCTGTTAGTCCAGTGGTTCTGGTTTGACCGAACCCCAGGGGTTCGTTGAGTCAGTCTCAGGGGTTCGGCGGAGGTCAAGATACACACCCGACTCTTATTACTCACGATCGGATTTTGTAAATGCGTACGATGGAATTGTTAAGAAAGTTTCGGTGAATGCGCATATGAAACTGGTGGGGTTCGGTACTCCAAAAAGATTTAGAACCACTTTTCTGACTATTTCCTGCTTGCCTGAGTTTGTTCTGACGCTAACGGCACAAAAGTGGGATGGAACGGTACAGCTGTCATTTTCAATGCCGTTATTTTCTAAGACTAGTAACGTAAATTGTACTACAATAATTACTAAGGATTGAGATAAGAAAAATTTGACCCAGGGAAATATTGATCACAGGGAAATATTGACGCCAGTGAAAATTGGCAATAGTGAAATATTGACCCCAGTGAAATATTGACCCCAGTGAAATATTGACCCCATTGAAATATTGACCTCAGTGAAATATTGACCCCATTGAAATATTGACCCCAGTGAAATACTGACCCCAGTGAAATATTGACCCCAGTGAAATATTGACCCCAGTGAAATATTGACCCCAGTGAAATATTGACCCCAGTGAAATACTGACCCCAGTCAATGCCCAGAGAATCCCTTATCCCTGGACAATATGTACCCTTGCCGTTTGGTTCTAAGCTCCCTGCCACCCTGGACTAAACTCCCTGGCGCGATGGAGCTAAGCTCCTTGGCACCCTGAGGTCGTATGCTGTAATGACCCATAGAGCTGCTGTAATGCCAGAGAATAATTCTGTGTACTCACGTTTGTCTCCCCTCGTGTGTTTTTTCACGAGAAATTAAGCCTCGTGCAATTATCAGCTTAATCTCGGGGATGGGGTATGGGGGCGGGAGGGGGAGGGGGTGGGGGCGATCAAAATTGTCATTTGATACTCATCAATTGATTTTGTTGACATTCTTCGGATGTTTTCGTTTTGGTGTGTACGGCTATTGTGTTTACCGTTGGGTAACGTGACCTAGTATGACATTATGTGACATAGTGTGACACAGCGTGACATGGTGTGACACAGCGTGACCTAATGTGACATTATGTGACATAGTGTGACATTATGTGACATAGTGTGACACAACGTGACATAGTGTGACATAGTGTGACACCGCGTGACATAGTGTGGCATTACGTGACAAAGTGTGACAAAACGTGACATACTGTGGAATTACGTGACCTAGTGTGACATTATGTGACATAATGTGACACAACGTGACATAGTGTGGCATTGCGTGACATAGTGTGACAAGACGTGACATGGTGTGACAAAACGTGACCTAGTGTGACATTATGTGACATAGTGTTACACTATGTGACATATTGTGACACAACGTGACATGGTGTGACATTATGTGACATATTGTGACAAAACGTGACATATTGTGACAAAACGTGACCTAGTGTGACATTACGTGAGATGGTGTGACATCCCCACGAGGCCGTGTTAAGGATTTTAGACGCTAATTTCTCGGCTATATGATGGGTAATGTGGCTAACCACACGAACACAGTACTGATGATGTGGCTGACCACACAACAGTGCTGATGTGAATGGCTGATCTCAATTCCCGAGATTTTTTTTCGCCCCTGATTCTCTGCTTCATTGAAACTTGTGACTTAATCCGCATTATCTACCCTATAAACCAAATTTGTCCCTGTTCAACTTTATTGTCTGCCCCTGTTTAACCTTATTGTCTGCCCCTGTTTAACCTTATTGTCTGCCCCTGTTTAACCTTATTGTCTGCCCCTGTTTAACCTTATTGTCTGCCCCTGTTTAACCTTATTGTCTGCCCTTGTTTAACCTTATTGTATGCCCTGTTTAACCTTATTGTCTGCCTCTGTTTAACCTTATTGTCTGCCCTTGTTTAACCTTATTGTCTGCCCCTGTTAAACCAAATAGTCTTCCCACTAGTTATAAAAAACTGGCATACAGCCGAATTATAAAAAAACACGATTAACTCCATTAACCATCTTGGCTTCTTAATTAACCTAATTTAAACTTAATTACACGATCAGTTATTATTTTAACCTCACCTCCACCACGCGACTTTCAATTAAATTTAATCTGTCCCATAAATCGACCAGAAGGTACGACAACGGCGTTTTATTACTTCCTCCTCTACCCCCTCCCCCTCACCTTTAAACCTCTTCTTTAACAACCCCCCCCCCCCCACACACACACACACACATACACCCACCCTAGGTTCGTAACTAGCTTTAAAAAGTCGTCGCTGTCAATGTCAGTTTCGTTACCTGACCTGACTGTTGTCAGGCAATTATTAACACGTTTTTATTAACTCAGCTTCGCGTGTGTTTGTTGTTAAAATTGACATCGAAAATTAGCCCACTTCTGATTGCTCTATAGACCTGAAATTTGGCATGCATGCTACTTTCGCCTAACAATTTCAGATGCAATCATAAAAACTAGCAATTAGAGACCGTAATTAGCTTAATTTAATTACGCCCCAAGGACCATAAAATTGAGGACATGATTTCTAAAGATACCGACAAGACTGGAGGCTTATCGACACAGTTACTTCGGCCCCAATCGATGTGAGCGCGCTGGCCGTGATCGTATAGTGGTTAGTACTTCTCGTTGTGGCCGCGACAACCCAGGTTCGAATCCTGGTCGCTCAAGATTTTTTTAGTCCGTGTATTTATAAACACTTAGTCAATTCATACTTAATCAAGTCATTAGATAAAGTAGAAAATAAACTATATAAAAAACTTTTTTAAAAACCACGTTTTTCATGTGTAGCAACGGACTAAAAAGGAGAAAATAAAATACTTAAAAAAAACTTTTTAAAAAACCACGTTTTTCTTGTGGACTAAAAAGTAGAAAATAACTATTTACATACATTTGATGACAAAAAACGTGGGTCGGGCAGATGGGTCGGGAAATTTGATGGTGAACGTACCCACGTTTTTTGTCATCAAATGTATGTAAATAGTTATTTTCTACTTTTTAGTCCACAAGAAAAACGTGGTTTTTTAAAAAGTTTTTTTTAAGTATTTTATTTTAATACTAATGTAGTTACAGCTTAGAACGTGTGTAAAATAAACAAATGACGTTTCGGCTATAGGCCTTCGTCTGACAAACTAACAAAAATAAAATGAAACTTTTCAAACCTTTTAAAAAATTGTGTTTACCTTTTAATAACACCAAGGTTGATTTAAAATTCTGTGAGTGCTAGTTCACTCATGTAAGGGAAAGTGAAGGCGATTGGTTATAGAAATGACCAAACTACCGCTTCATATCATATGCCGAGGTCACAGAAACAGGTGAACTTCAGTTTAATCAGTTCTACGGAGCTTGAAGGTGGTATTTTCAAATGCTGGTTTAATCACGCTTAAAGACACGATTATGTAGAAGTTGTTTTGTGTCCGACATATTTGAATGTTAATAACGATGTTTTTATCTTTCCTTGATGTATTCAGATGTGAGATATACACTCGTCATACGTTGATGAAATATAATGGATGAACGCCTCACTATAAAAACAAGCAATAATCCATTCTTGTGTCGATGTATATTCAAGATATTTACACCCTGGGCATTGATATGTGTGTTCTAGATCAACAATTCGCACGCTGTCATAATGAAGTGTGTTTTTTTATTTAAACAATGATCACGTTTTCACGATGATGTGTGTCGTCTAGTTAAACAATGATCACGTTGTCACGATGATGTGTGTCGTCTAGTTGAACAATGATCACGTTTTCACAATGATGAGTGTCGTCTAGTTAAACAATGTTCACGTTGTCACGATGATGTGTGTCGTCTAGATAAACAATGATCACGCTGTCACGGGAGAGCCCCAACATTACCAGAGCTTAGGTCAAGTTGACCCCCATCGTTAGATAGCCTCGCCAGGTCACGTGTTTATGTCATCTCTCCTCCCATTGGTTACAATCCTCCAACGATGTTATGTAATGCTTGCTCTCTACCAACTTCCGGTCTGAACCCCAGACATGCTGGCTGTCACGGATGACGTCATCCGAACGCTCAGCGCAAGATCCTTCGCACTTTGTCTGACGATGGCCGTTGTTTGCAGCTTCGTCCTTTCTGTGCCTGTCAACAAAACGGAAACCCTTTTCGGGAAATCCCAACAGGAAAATCCGATCCCCATGTCTATTTTTAGCCTGCGGGTTATTTATATCTGTGACGAGAGTTCATCGGAGTATTGCGCGGCCAACAAAACCGGCCCGAACGTCACGCATTATTTCCAGGCGTCACATGGGCTCGATCCCGAGCTCTGCGAGGCGTGCGGCACCAACGTCACATGCGGCGACTCTGGAACCGGCCCTGCCAACGAGACCAGGTCTCAGGTCTTCCGGTGCGGGGATCACGTGATCCTGAGCAAACGACTGGGCCAGAACACGTCTCTGGTGCTGAACGTGACGTACCACATCGTCAGCGGCAACTTCCGGCAGCGGCTCGTGGACATTGACGACATCGCCACGTCACAGTCTGCTGACGTCATCGTCGCTCTGGGAGACGCCCTAACCGTGCAGACGTCGGCCTTGGTCGCTGAAGGTCAAGGTCTACCGGCCCTTGGATACATTATGGAGTACGGAGAAGACCCTAAGGTAGGCAACACGTTTTATACCTCCCTCTCTCTCTCTCCCTCTCTCTCTCTCTACCCCTCTCTCTCACCCCTCCCCCCCCTTTCTCTCAGCAAATGCTATCTTGTCCAGCTGTTTCCAAACAGAGGGTGGGGGGGGGATGCTTCGACACGGGATAGGGCAAACTATAGCTATTGTTGGCTAGAAAAGTTTAATCGAGATGTACAATATTTATTTATAAACAATTTGTAACTTCTTCTAAAGAAACATTATGGATTCCCGTCCCAAAATGACAGTTGAATGTATCTGTTACCATCGTTCGAATATCTTCGCTGCTGCCTTTTAAAAAATTTCTATTATGACCGGCTCCATTCCATAAGGTCCGCGTTCAAATCTTTCAAAATTGTGATGAATAAATGTGTGCTATATGTGGAGATGTGGGGGGAAGGGGGGATGGGGGGGGGGTGTTACTAACATGTATGTGGTTTCCCAGAGTGAGAAAAGTTTGGAGACTGGTGATTTATTGTGTTTCTTTCTGCGGACTGACTAAACCTTGGCAAGACTAAGTTTAGTAGCGGGGGAATGGCGTGGTCAAGCGCTAGAGTGAACTCTGTTGGCCCCTATGGTGTTAGTGGTGTAGTGGGAAAGGGGGGGGAAGAAAAGCAACAAAATTATCTTGGCACCCTGGAGTGTGGGGTGTGAGAACCCTCGTGTCTACTTTCTGGCACCGTCTGCTGGGTTTTAAAGCATCGCCCTAGATCTGGGAGAAAATACAATGGTAGAAGTAAATATAGTGCTCTACATCATCTTCCCATACCTAGCGTGTATTTTTTGTAACCTTCTGCATAATTTGGTACTTAGTTTCTGTGAGTTAAGAGGTTCTACGCTAGAGATTGTATGATACGTGGCTAAGAGTGAGTACTTTATATTAGCTTAAAATCTACTCACGTGCTGGTCACGTGATCAGTTCGACACGACAAACAGCACCACATTCAACTCACCCTTTAGCAGATGTATACCACTGGTCATTTAGTGGTCATCACGTGACCAGTCCCTCGTGACCCACACCACCACATCACGTGACCAGTTCCCGATGACCCACAACACCACATCACGTGACCAGTTCCCGATGACCCACACCACCACATCACGTGACCAGTCCCTTATGACCTACAACACCATATCACGTGACCAGTTCCCGATGATCCATAACACCACATCACGTGACCAGTGCCTTATGACCCTAACACTAGATGACCCATTGCGCCACATCACGTGACCATCCCCGATGACCCACACCACCACATCACGTGACCATCCCCGATGACCCACACCACCACATCACGTGACCAGTCCCTTATGACCCACAACACCATATCACGTGACCAGTCCCCGATGACCCACACCACCACATCACGTGACCAGTCCCTTATGACCCACAACACCATATCACGTGACCAGTCCCCGATGACCCACACCACCACATCACGTGACCAGTCCCTGATGACCCCTTGCACCCCACCCCTCCCACCATTTCACAAAAGTATATCGCCGGTCATCCAGTACCAGTTCATTCATTTCACGACTTACGTAACCCTGGACTCTACATCAAGGCTAGCACCCCCACCCCACCCTACCCCCCACCCCACACTACCCCAGTGTACTACTGACCCCTGTAGCACCCCCACCCCACCCTACCCTAGTGTACTACTGACCCCTGTCACCTACATCTGTACAAAAGCCATTATTCAAGGACGTTATTAGTCGGCGGAGGCGAGCGGGCTATACAGGCAAAAGCCATTAGCATTTTATTTCTTCCGGAAGCGGAATTATGGGCTTTGACTTCCGGTGCTGAAACACTTTTCGATAGCTGGGACAGTTTAGAAGTTAGAGGTGGCGCTTTGTTCGGATTTTTAATCGCGGTTTAGATTAGCGTTAATTGGCTTTGTTCGACTTAACGTTTTAAAATTAAATTTTGCAACTTTAGGAAATAATAGCGTAGTGTTTATTGATTTGTCTTTCGGCTATAAAAGTTGTCTTTAGAGTCTGATCTAGCATATCGATGAATTCAAGTTATCGATTAGGGTTAAAGGACTGGGTTGAGAGATTAGGTTTGTTGTTTATTATTTCACTTCTAGACACGAGCAGGGTATGGGCGGTAGTCAGGGTGATACACTGTTGAGTTAGAGGTCGTTACATTAGCAACTCAAGGCGAGGATAGTTGTCGTTATTCTGGTAAACAGGATTGTCTGATATTTTGAACGGAGTTAAGAAACTTCAAGAAACACAAAGATAAGAGATAAAAAAAAACAAGCTTTTGGTGCATCTTTTAATTGATTTCTATTTTTATAATATCACTCCTGGAGTTATAAATTTTTTTAACAATATAACGACGCCTCGTGTTTTGGATGATTTTCAAATGAAAACATTTCTGGTGAAGTTTCGTTTTTAATGAATTTTACACCTTTATATCTTGCATTTTTTGCTTTCTTCTATAGACAGGTGCGTTCTTCATTAAACCTGTGTTAATTTTTTTTACGTATCATCGGTCTGTTATTGCAGCCAGTTCTTTGATCATTCTTCTCTTTATTTTAACTTCTGATCTTTTTTTGGTCTACACGGCGATAAGTCTGGTCAGTCTGTAGTCAACGCGTATATTTCTGGTCAGTCTGTAGTCAACGCGTATATTTCTGGTCAGTCTGTAGTCAACGCGTATATTTCTGGTCAGTCTGTAGTCAGCGCGTATATGTCTGGTCAGTCTGTAGTCAACGCGTATATTTCTGGTCAGTCTGTAGTCAACGCGTATATGTCTGGTCAGTCTGTAGTCAACGCGTATATTTCTGGTCAGTCTGTAGTCAACGCGTATATTCTTGGTCTAATTTAGTTCACTGTGGATTCGAATATTAAAACCAGGTCTAATGTTTGCTGTGTTGTTGTTTTTTTTCTGTGACTTTTTTCCCGTTCAATGTACCGCTCTACTCCACCTGATTTCGCGGCCATTGTGGTCCAAGTTTGTCTTTCCTCAACCGGTTGTCTGGCACTGGAAATGACCGGCTCACGGCCAGCCGGACAAAGGCGTGTCAGCCCTCGGACGTGTGCGGGCGGAGACGCACTTGACGGCTCGTCGTCAGAGTTTGGCTCTTGTGGCCCTCGGTGAGTGGTGGCTGAGTGGCTCGGGGGTTAATGAAAGCTGGTGGGTCGGTGTTGTCGAGTGGTGGTGGTGTATGTGTGGGGGTGGGGGTACTGGGTGGTTGTGGTGGAGGTTGTGGTGGAGGTTGTGGTGGAGTTGTGGTGGAGCGGTACTGGTAGGTTGTAGTGGAGGTTGCGGTGGAGGTTGTGGTGGGGCGGTACTGGTAGGTCGTGGTGGAGGTTTTGGTGGACGTTGTGGTGGAGCGGTACTGGTAAGTTGTGGTGGAGTGGTACTGGGTGGTTGTGGCGGAGGTTGTGGTGGAGGTTGTGGTGGGGCGGTACTGGTAGGTTGTGGTGGAGGTTGTGGTGGACGTTGTGGTGGAGGTTGTGGTTGTGGTGTAGGTTGCGGTGGAGGTTGGGGTGGAGCGGTACTATATGGCTATTGGGTGTCAAGAAATTACTATTTGTGACTTTTATATCGGAACTAAATCACGTTTACATCGTATTATATAAACAAAACGTATCAGCTACATTACATTTACAAGACCCGTAACCCTTAGTTATATCCTAATTACAAAACCCATGACCCTAGCTCTTGTGTTAATCATAACCCACTCATTACAAGACCCATGACCCATATACTACAAGTAATTAAAGACCCATAACCCACAATCTTGTAGTATTTACAAGACAGTATAATCAATGCTAGTTTTATACTTACCTTCCAATATTTTGCCAGCCAGCGCTTTAAACAGTTGACAAAGAAGGGAAAACCGAATCGATGGCCAGAAAAAGTTGAGTGACGTAGCTGTCTGGCACGGAGGCTAACAAGAATATTAGCGGGTGGCTCGGTTACTTCCCTTTAACCGATTTCTCTCCCTGTTCGGTAATTGAGTTCCCTTACTTTAATATTGGATCTAACACCAGCACTCCAACACCATCGACACTCTAACACCATCGACACTCTAACACCATCGACACTCTAACACCATCCGTACCATAACACTATCAGCACCCTAACACGTCACCCTAACACCACCATCCTAACACCATCAGCACCCTAACACCACCATCCTAACACCATCAGCACCCTAACACCACCATCCTAACACCATTAACACCCTAACACCATTAACACCATTAACACCATAACACCAATAACACCCTAACACCATTAACACCCTAACACTATTAACACCCTAACACAATTAACACCCAAACACCATTAACACCCTAACACCATTAACACCCTAACACCATTAACACCCTAACACTATTAACACCCTAACACCATTAACACCCTAACACCATTAACACCCCAACACCATTAACACCCCAACACCATCAACACCCCAACACCATTAACACCCCAACACCATTAACACCCAAACACCATTAACACCCTAACACCATTAACACCCTTACACCATTAACACCCTAACACCATTAACACCCTAACACCATTAACACCCTAACACCATTGACACCCTAACACCCTAACACCATTAACACCCTAACACCCTAACACCATTAACACCCTAAAGCCATCAACACCCTAACTTTCAGTACCTTAACACCATAAGCACCCTAAAACCATCAATAACCTAACCATCAGCACCCTAACATCATTTACACCCTAACACCACCACTCTAACACCACCACTCTAACACCACCACTCTAACACCACCACTCTAACACCACCCTAACAGCACATTATTATTTTTATAACACCCATCTCATAAAAAGAATGTATCTTACCACCATATGACGTATGTGACAATATCTTCAGCCACATACACATACAGTTACTATATTGTGACTATGTCCAGTAGGACTAGCTCATACACCATTACAAATCCTTAGGGGCTGACCTATACCATAATATTAGATTACA